ACTCAAAGTTTGAATGAACTGAATCTTAAGTGAAGATTATCCTTCTTATGATGTATACTTTCTCTTTTCTAAAGAGAAAACCAGTATTCTCTCTTTTCAGAAATAGCACAAATCCTTTGAGGTCCTCTATCCTATAAGGTAAACAACAGAAACAAAGAAATGAAGAAAAAATCCACCATATTCTTCTGCTTTAAATCAATGAGGTCTATAAAATTCTTGTGAAGAAGTGTAAAAAGTTTCTAAGGAGAATAAACCTCATGCAATATGAAGGAATTGAGTGAAAGAGGCCCACTTCATGAGCTCCATTTAAAATTTTAGTTGAAAACTGTGTTGTCAATTAATTTCTTGCAACATGTAATACATTCGCAAGTTCACGTGAACAACATGCCTTTTTCTGGATATATACACAAGAATACCAGTTAGGGCTCCCAAGAGGTTGTTTTCAATTATATTTCCTTTTGCTAAGATTTTGAGCCATTTTCTTAATGCTTGGGATTAAATTTTGGGAATTGAATTTTGCATCATAGGTTGATAGTTTGCTGGGTGCTCGTGGCGGTGGTTTTGAGCATGAGGCTACTAGGAGAATGAGAAATGAGTTCATGGCAGCCTGGGATGGATTAAGGTCAAAAGATAGCCAAAGAATCCTTATCCTTGGTGCCACAAATAGGCCATTTGATCTTGATGATGCTGTTATTCGCCGCTTACCAAGAAGGTAAATCTTACATTCATGAGATTCTTCAAGCGGGTTCCTCTTACTTATTTACTAACAGTAATGGTAGTAACCAGTATTGCTTATGAATTATGTTGGTTGCCATTTAGGATATATGTTGACCTACCAGATGCTGGAAACCGCATGAAGATACTGAAAATATTTCTTGCACAAGAGAATATAGGACCAAATTTCTCATTTGATGAACTTGCAAATGCAACTGAGGGTTATTCTGGCAGTGATTTGAAGGTAAATTACTGATTTTAGGTTTGTTGAACTGTTGAATAGCAGACTCATATTTCTCCATAATTTGAAGTGCAGAACCTCTGTATAGCTGCAGCATACAGGCCTGTGCAAGAACTTCTAGAAGAAGAAAAGAAGGTACCTATTGTGCACTTAAATGACGTATTGATTTGATTGTGCTTCTAGGCTAATTGTCTGAAGTTTCACTTCTGTTTTTATTTTGATTTGGATCATTCCTCTCATGATTCTTATGCACCTCCTGCATTTTCTTTATTTATGTTTTAGATCATTTTGCAAGAAACTATTACACTATTTTTCTGCAATGTGTTCAAGGAGAGATCCTAGTAGTCTGGTATTTGGTATGTAGAAAATAAAAGTGTACTGTTTGACTCTTGTGTTGACATTTTGCACTTGATTTTCCAGGGTGGCAAAAATGATGCAGCTGCACTATTAAGGCCTCTTAATTTGGATGACTTTATTCAGTCAAAAGCCAAGGTTGCGTATTAATGCATCTATTTTGATTCTGTTGGCTTGTTTAATATTAAAAGGAAAAAGATATTTGTATGACATAAAACCATAAACAATTTCCTCAGTTGAACATAATAAACAACAGTTCTACATTACAGATGGGGGGAGATTAATAATATCACTAATTCAGGCTTTCAGCTTAGTTTCATTCCAAGGTGTTTCCTGAATAAAGCGTTTTCTTATCCATTTTGAGTTTTGAGCCATCTTATGGGGTGTGTTCAGGTCTTTTATATGTTTAGTTATTTATTTTGTTTTGCTAATTGTGCCTGCGTTAAAGCTGTGCCTTGAGGGATTCTGTTTAAAACATGATGATGTTTTGAGTACATTGTTGTTGTTAAGCCTGTCTGAATTATAAACTTGATGCATGTTTCTTGTGGAACAGGTAGGTCCTTCTGTTGCTTATGATGCCACAAGCATGAATGAGCTTAGAAAATGGAACGAACAGTATGGTGAAGGTGGAAGCAGAAGGAAATCACCTTTTGGTTTCTGAAACAAAATTTTGCGGATTTAATAATTATTTTTTTTAATCATCGGAGAAAAAAATCCCTCTTTTTCATCCATTTTGTACGGATGAAAGAAGGCCGACTTGTAGTGTTGGTGTGACTTAGGTGTTATATTATGGATGATGTATGATGTTGGAGATCCTATTCAATAATTTTCCTAGGTTCACGTCACATCCATTTTGTATATGATTCTAGTTTGCTATACATAGCATGTAAAATTGTAATAAATTTTTTAATTTATATTTCTTATATTGGTCTTTTCCTTTATTTTTAATTCCCTACTAGAGTGCTTCCTGATTTTTATTTATGAATATTTATTTTTATTTTAACATTATGTAAATTGAATATATATATATATATATATTTAGGAAACTAAAATTAGATAAAGATCATAAAATAGTAAGGTACAAAGTTTTTTCTACTGCATCATCGACAAGCTGGTTCAAAATAAAATTAAGAGGGTTTTGAAATAAAAACAAAAAGGTTTTTATAACATCATACATTACAAAGCGGTCATTATCAAACGAGCCGAACGAGTCAAAGCATTAGCACAATTGATCTCTTCTCTGAAGGTATGCAACTTCACAGCAACTATTTCAGTAGTAATTTCTTGCAGCAATTTCTTGTAATTATCGATTAAAGGTTGTAAATACAAATTAGGAGTGGATTAATTTTTAATTAAAGAAATGACAGCAATAGCATCAATTTCCACATCCAAGTTAGAAATATTAACTTGTTTAGCCAGCATTAACCCATCCCTAAAGCTCATAATTCAGCCAACATATTTGTTCCATATCTTATAAATCTGGCAAAGCCAGCCACCCATTTTCCTGTATGGTCTCTAATGATGGTGCTAGCCCTTGCTCTTCCTGGATTTCCTATAAATGACCTATTGGTGTTAAGGTTAAAACGTCTAGACGGTTTCCATTTAACAGGAACGAAAGATACTTGGACGTGTCTCCCCTCTATCTGGTTCAAGGCATAGAATTCTCCTGCTTTCTCAATTGCATGCTTGACAACATCCACCTTTCTGCTGCTCTCTTTGAAAGTCCTATGATTTCTTTCTAGCCAAACTTCTCACATGATATGGACAAATAACAAGCCCCAGAGAATAGAATGGTGTTTTGATCTTCTATTATCAGTAACGTTGAATTGGACCCAATCCTCCAAAATTGCCACCCAGAGACAAACCTGCAACCTCCCTTTGGTTCCTTCCATACATTCTTGGTCCATTGGCAGTCACGTAAAAGGTGCTGAATGTCCTCTTGCCCTTGACCACATAACATGCAATTATTTTGAACGTTTATTCCACGTTGCATGAGAAAACCTTTCGTAGGCAAAATCTCATTCATACATTGCTAGACAAAAAAATTGGAGTTTAGGTAAAACTTTCAATCTCCAAATCCAATTCCACTCAATTTTCCTAGCACTACCCTTATCTGCCTTTCCAAAAAGATTTATATCATCCACAAAGATAATATCGGAAAAATGAGGCCCATTTCTATATGGTTTACAAGTTAACCATCTTTTTTCTTCACATGCTTCCAAAATCTTCAAGCTAAGAAATTCCATACACATGATGAATAAGTACAAGGATAGAGGGTTCCCCAGCCTTATGCCCTGCCCTTTGAAGGTTTAAAGCTTTCAAGTATTCCTCCATTCAAAAGCACTGAGATTGAAAGTGATGAGATGCAGCTCATGAGGTTAATAAGGGATGTAAGTATGTTGAAAAAAAACAAAACCTTTTCTAATGAAACTCCACTCAAATCTGTCATAAGCTTTTTTCAGATCCAATTTGACCACCATTTGTCTTTTTTTTTTATATTTTTTAAAAGCATGAATAATTTCTTGGACAATAATACAGTTATCATAATATTTTTTTTGGGTACAAAATTAGTTTAGAAAAGAGATATGATTTTATTAAAAAATGGCCTAAGCCTCTGGACAACAATCTTTGTAACAATTTTATAAGTGGTATTATACAAATTAATAAGCTTGAATTGGTCAATGCGTGATGAGTTCGCTATTTTAGGAATTAAAGATATACGTGTATCATTAAAGGATTCAAGCATCGACCTAGCCTTAAAAATACCTTTGATTGTCTCACAGACCTTTCCCTTCACAATATTCCAACATCGTTGAAAAAAATAAGGATGTAGTCCTTCTGACCTAGGGGCTTTAAAAGCTTTAAAAGACCATTCCATTTTTTGGATTTCAAGTTTTGAAACTGGTTTGAAGAGTTCCTCCTTGTCCTATTGTGAGAGTTGAATGATTTATCTTGACCCATCCTCGTACCATCAACGCCTTTTTATTTGCGATGTCGTATAAAAGTCACAAAAATATTTTTGCACTATTTGTCTCATGCTATTGGGCTCAGTATTCCAATTGCCTTTTGCTTTCTTGATCCTCAAGACCCACAATTCGATTGAATTTTTTTGGTGATGGTTGATGCATGAAAGAATCTTGTGTTCTTATCACCATCAGTGACCTAACTTACTTTGGATTTCAGAGCCCATATATCCTCTTCAACCTTGAGAATTTATTTTTTGAATTATCAAAAAATATATTTTATAAATAAATGTATACTTGTAATAATTAATTTTATAACTAATTTAATAACAATTTGTAATGATATATTATCACAAATTGAAACATCATTTTTAAAAATTTAAATTTTGCATGCTTTCGAATGTTTGTAATCTTATGTGGACAAATTAATTTATAATACAAATTATAGTAAATTTATGAGAATAAAGTTTTAAATATTGTTAATTAATTTTTTAAAAATTATTATAATTTTTTCCACCCACATGTGGGTGACTGTGTCCCATAATAATCTAAGTTATTATTATTTGTTTAAAGGTAGTTTACTCATTTTTCATCCGGAGAATGAGACCAAGCAAATATTCCGGTTCTGACTTTAATACACGTTGAGAATGCACATCGGAGCAAGAAAATGACAGCCGGGTTGGGTAATTTTTTCTTTAAATTTCTCGGTTATTCTTATTCCCTTAACTTATCAATAAATTTTAATAATCATTCAATTTAATACCGTAAGAAAAATAATACTCCATAATGATGTACTACAAATATTATTCCACCTTCAATTCCACACCCACATCAACAGTATTAGAAGTCGCCCAATTGGTCATCCTTTCGCTTTCATCCGTTTCCTTTCCTTTTCCTTTCTTCTTTTTTTCCTTTTGCCTCTCGCAGGAGCTCTGGCCTTGTCGCTGGATTCCCGCGATTCTAAAACCTAAAATTTGTCGTCAAAAGATGGAGCATTTCTTCTTCTAGGGTTTCTTTTAAAGACCCATCGACTGCTTTTGTTCCTCATTTCCGGAAAAAAGAAAAACAAAGAGGAGGAAGAAGACGAACAATACACACTCTGAGCAATGTCTCGCCAAGCAGCTTCTTCCGCTTTCCACAAATCCAAAACTCTCGACAATAAATACGTAAGTCAATTTCCGTCATTCGATCTATTTTTCCAGGAATTTCTACTTTCTTCACTTCCTATTCATTTTCATCTCTTTCTTCTTCTCTTAATAACGGTTTGGTGGGTTATAAAATTGAGGGAATTAAAGGAATTAAATGGAAACAAAAAAAAAAAAGAAAATGTGAAGGTTTTGTTCGTCAAATGTTGCTCTCAATTCTTATTTTGCAGAAAAAAGCAGAAGTTATATATATTTTTTTAAATTCTGCTTTGATTAGTAGATGCAAATTACGTTGCAGTGAGTTGATGTAAATTGGAAGGAAAAACAGGATAAAGGAAAGAATTACACACTTTCAATTTGCCTTTGCCTTTTTCCATTTTTTTTTTTTTTTGTTTTTAAACTCTCTTTGACAATTGAATGTCAAGGTTCTTACAGATATATTGAAATTTATATATTGTCTTCTCTTTTTTTGTAAAGATGCTTGGAGATGAAATCGGAAAAGGTGCATATGGACGTGTTTATAAAGGTTTAGATTTGGAGAATGGAGACTTTGTTGCAATTAAACAAGTATCTTTGGAGAATATAGCACAGGAGGATCTCAATATTATAATGGTTCGATTTTATATTCCTTTTTTTTTTCTCTAGAGTTTCTAAATTTTCACATACTTAAATCGATTTAGGGTTTCACTAGGATGGCCATGGCCTGCTAGATAGGGTTGAGCCATGTTGGCCGGTACATTAATGGTTTTGTTCCATATAGTTAAATTACAGTCAGCTTCAATAACTTTTCACAACTCTTGATTTTTGTTTTAGATCATACCATTTTTTCAGGACATTATGATGGATGAAAGATTGTTTGAATATGATGTTTTTTTGTCGATTGACATGTTTCGTAGGTTTTATTAATATTTTTTGTTAACCTTATTTGATGGTAGCTATCTAACTTCTTTTCTTATGATAAAAGATTCAGCAGTTTAATTTATCAATAAGCAATATGTTTTCTATCAGAGCTACTAAAGACTTGCAATATTTAAGTTTATTTGTCTTAACCACTTTCAATGACCTGCTTATGTGATGCCTGTTGCATTTTATTATAGACAACCATAGTGTGCAATCAATAAGGTGACTCGATTTTAGTCTTGAACATCTTTTCAACACTTATAGATTGTTTTTAGAGAATATTTAAATGTATTCTGGGTGTCAATAAAATTGCCTTGTTCCTGTGAAACCTGCTGCTTTTTATTCGTAGGTCATTTATCATTCTAGCCCTTAATTATGGTGTATTTAATATATATACATGTCTAACATTTTAGAAGAATTAGGTGATACACATGTGAAATGGAAATAAATATTTATATATTTCTATTTGGTCCATAGGAATGCTATCTTCGAACCATGCATTTATTATTTCCAGTTTCTGTTGTGTTAACTTGGCTGACAAGTTGCCTTTTTCTTTTGGATACACTTGGTTGGTGGAATGGGTTAACATTGCAGCAAGAGATTGATTTATTGAAGGTAACTACCTCCTTTAACATTTTTTTTTTTGTCTATTTTGGTGCTTTTTGAACTTTTCCCTTGTTATAATGCTGCATCAAAATTCTGCCTTGCGTATCTGACGCACGAGTTCTCCATATGGGCACCTAAGATGTCTTACTGCCAGTTGGCCGTGTTGCAACTATCAGTCCCTTTTAATTTTCTCTTTTCCATTATTTGTTGTTTACTGGTCATCTTCATGGTAGTTGTTGTCTACTTCTGGTTGGATTTCTGATGGTAAGAAGTTGTGTTGTCAGTATCTTATTGATGCTAATTAACATTTGAGCTTCTTTGCAGAATTTGAACCATAAAAACATTGTGAAGTATCTTGGATCATTGAAGACAAAGACTCATCTGCATATAGTTCTTGAGTAACAAATCTTATATTGTGATTGCAGTGTTCTCTGAGCTGTTAGAAACTTGTAGTTATTGCTTTACGTTTTTACAGGTATGTGGAGAATGGTTCGCTTGCAAACATCATCAAGCCAAATAAATTTGGGCCTTTTCCAGAATCATTGGTGGCTGTTTATATTGCTCAGGTTTGTTTGTATATCTGCAATTTATTGTTTCATTTCCCTATTCAAGTATCTTTTGGATTTGCTAATTACTAGTTAAAACAGGTTTTAGAAGGCTTGGTTTATCTACATGAACAGGGTGTTATCCATCGTGATATTAAGGGTGCAAATATTTTGACAACTAAAGAGGTAGCCTAACAACTACTTCTCTTTTCTCTTATCTTTAGAGTTTTATTACTATTTCAGAGTCAGTTATTTTTAGTGATTCCCTTTCTATAAATTTGATCATGGCAGCAGAGATATGGAAGAGAACAGTACCATTGACCTCCTTACATATGGGGCCATTAGAGACTAGTGGAATTTGGTTCACTTAATTCATATGTTTCCTTGTACTTTGGCAAATTATGTGGTGAGAAATCTGCTAAGATAAATGAAGTTGAAGTGCTTAATTTCCTAGAGCAGAGCACCTGTCGGCTGCTGAATTTGTGGCCATATTTTATTGCCTCAAAGCTCAGTGTCCTTGTTTGTTTGTATGGATTCGTAGTAGTCACCATGCTGTTTTTTCTTCATGATTTCAAGTCCTAGTTAAGTTTGATGGTTGTCTTTTTGGGTGTATGGGTTCTCTTGGTTTCTTCCCGACTTATCCTCAACTTAATTTCTCATTTCAGGGTCTTGTGAAACTTGCTGATTTTGGTGTTGCAACCAAACTAACTGAGGCTGATGTTAACACACACTCAGTTGTTGGAACACCATATTGGATGGCCCCAGAGGTACTTCTTTGGTTCCAATTGATTAATTGTCAAACTTGTTTCTCCAAGTTTTCATCCACGGTATTTGAGGTATATATCGGATGCCTTACATTGGAGGTTAAATTATATTTCAGGTGATTGAAATGTCAGGAGTTTGTGCTGCTTCTGATATTTGGAGTGTTGGCTGTACTGTGATCGAACTGCTTACATGTGTGCCTCCGTACTATGATCTGCAGCCTATGCCAGCTCTCTTTCGGATTGTGCAGGTTTTTCCGACTTCTATATTTTCCACAAGTTTTTTAGTCAGTTTGTAATTATAAGAGTAAATTCTTTCTGCCTGAGTTTCTGTGTTTCTGTCTATCCTTTATGTACCTACCTTATTGATTAAATCGTTCCATATTCTCATATTACTTTTACTGCTGAAGAATGCTTTAACAAGTTCTTTTTTCTTGTCATCTCTTAAATTGCTTATCTTCTTACCCTCAGGATGAGCATCCACCAATACCTGATAGCCTATCTCCAGACATTACTGACTTTCTGCGCCAGTGCTTTAAGAAGGTAAGGTAGAAGATAAATGAAGTCCCAATTTTGGATTTTAATTATGTTTTGATCTTATCAAAAGTTTATTATCACAAGTCATGCTATTGCTTGGTTTGAGTGGACAGAATAGTCTAGTTATTAGTAAGGAAAAATTTGTATTAATTGGAATGAGACTTATGTTGATCTTATAAATTTGGAATATATGAAGACCAAAAAGTAACTAGATACTCATCTATGCTCTCCTTAACAGTGATTCTTATGATTCTTTTGTTCAATCTCTCTTTTCTTTTTTTTGGTTGCATTTTCTAATAAACAAAAAGAAGGAAAAAAGGTAACTTGCTCGAAGTTCTAGAATAAGCAAACATACTTATAGCCATAAAACTCTTAGGTGGAGGCCACCCTCAAGATTGAAATGAAATCAACAGAATGCAAGGAATATAGAATATCATGATAAATTTCATAGAATAATTGATGGCCGTGGGGCCAAAAGAATATATGTCCTTCAATCTTGGTCCTTAGTTTATATGATAACTACGAGAGTTCAGTCAGTTGTCCACCAATGTGATGGTGGTTGCTAAGTTCAAGCATTGGTATCAAACCGTCATTAATCTTCACTTGATCCCTTTTAAGTCATTGATAATTTGTTACATTGTTAGATGAAGCATCATTGAATTTTCAGGATGCCAGACAGAGGCCTGATGCAAAAACACTGCTTTCTCATCCTTGGATACGAAATAGCAGACGTGCTTTGCAGTCTTCTCTGCGGCACAGTGGAACCATTAGGTATATATAGTACAATATGTTGTGTTTAATGTGTTTGGTAGTTGTCTTATTGGAGTTTTGGTATCATTCCTGAAATTATGCTATGTGGTCCCACTTATGACCTAGACACCTGCAATCACTAATCTGGTAAATAATCAGAGTTTTGATTGATTTTAGTCTAAGTTACTTTAACAACTGTTTGTTTTCTTAGGATTTTTGTTTTGCAAGATATCTGCTGCTTTAATCTTGCAAACAGTATGTTGGTTGACGGATTCAATATATATTGTACCTATAGATTTCAGCCATACATCTTGTTTTACTTCCGTACTGCTGTCTGAGATAATTTGTTTAGATTGCCATATTTTGTTGTGAAAGCCAGAATGTGAGACTAAAATTTTGCATGTTGGAAGTTGGAACATAGTTTTAGTTTTTAGCCTTTTCTAGCTTGGTAATGTTGATATCACTTAATGGGTTCTCTAGTTTTAATCCTAAATTATGAGGACATATATCTGCTTATGAATGTTTCTGTTGTAAATTTAGTACCCGTACTAGAAGTTGCTTTCCCATTATATTACACTCTTAGGATAAATTCCTTTGTTCTGGTTTATCATTAATATTTGGTCTTTTTCTCTCCAGATTTTAAGCATTTTGTAAAATATTTTCCAAATGTTAGTCACTTTATTAAAAATATAGATGAAAGTTCTGGAGTTTAACTCTTATTCATATTTATCTAATTATTTGAAACATTTCTCCCTATCTTTTCATTTACTGAGGTAGTGGTCACTTCTGTATTTCAGCTGGCAGCAGCAAAATTGTTTTACTGTTTTGCAGGATTGACAAATAAATGTTATTTGAACATTTTATTTGTGTTCTATTTACTCCGTTATCTCATGATGACTTATGCTCCGATTACTTTCCTATTCCTTTGGCAGAAACATTTCGGAAGATGTTGCAGCAGATGCAGAAAGCTCTATTGGAGATAATCAGAGTGCTGGAGAGAGCCTTCCTTTGGAGAAAGTGGAGGCATCTGAAATGGTGAGAGCTATTTCAACCTGAACCTTTTTTGATAGGAAGCCTTAGCTAAAGTTGGAAGCTACAAGAGATAAATAATTTATTAAAGAAATAGATTGAAAATATTTTAAGTTGTTTGAAGACTAATGATTAGTTTTTCCAAACAATTGATGATAGAGGATGCTGATTTGTCACATTAATTACTTGTAATCTTTTGATTGTCAGAGCTCCAGGAAAGAGCTATTATCAGCAGAGGTCACTGATCGAAGCAAGTATGATCATGATCATGATCATTCTGCAGATAATAATCTTCTTGAAGAAAGAATAAATAATTTAGACGATGATCTACCGTCAGATCAAGTTCCAACCTTAGCCATTCATGAGAAATCATCATTACATAGTAGTTTGGGTAGACTACCTGTAAAGAATGGAGTGGATGACCTTGGTTCTGCTCAGCTTCATGAGATGTCTCATCAAGATGAAGTTATGTTGAATGGTGATGTTGGATCTCCTGAATCAAGAAGGAAACATTTGGAAAAAAGACATGGAGGCAAAGGAAGTTCAATTGATACTGAGAATAAATCATTTGGCTTTGGACCTATAACTCAGGATGCCAGTCTGCATAAGGTAATGCTTCTGAAATGGTGGCAGTTTCTGAGAAGTTAATTTGTTAGATTAATAAGGTTTAGATTTATTTACTTTCAAAATTTCTGTCTGATGCATTTCTTTGACATTTCTGTGCATGTTTCCATGTGGATGCTTAGGTGTGTGCTTGTGTACTTGCATTGGTTCTAGAACTAATCTTGGTTTCTGTGACATCATGAACCAGTTATCTCGGTGAAATCTCTTCTTCCCTTGTGTGGTTTGGTTAAAGAACAAATAAGCTGTTCTTTTAGATTTTAAAGAAGTTCAGGGAACTAATCGGTAGATCCATTCATTATCTTTGCCTGTTTTCATTTTGTAGACCAGATTGAATTAACAATAATGGATATAATATTGGGTATTGTTTTGTGCTCTAGTCTTTCATTTTTGTGCTCTGGTCCTCAAATTCTGGATTGAGATAGTAATTGTCTATGATTTTCTTTTGTAAATGCTGTATCTGTTCTGTGTACACAGCTTGTCATCATTTTACCATTCATCTTTCTCGCCTTCCTTTTTGGTTTCCTGACAAAGTAAAAGTGGAGTCTTACAATTTGAATCCCACTTTTGAAGGCTGTAAAAGCTTCAGTGACCTCAACTGGGAATGAGCTAAGTAGATTTAGTGACCCTCCTGGAGATGCTTCCTTGGATGACTTGTTTCATCCGTTGGATAGAAACCTGGAGGAAAGAGCAGCTGAAGCTTCAACATCTGCATCTACATCAAATGTGAACCAGGCTACTCTGCCTGATACTGGAAAAAATGACCTAGCTAAGAAATTAAGGGATACAATTGCTAAAAAACAAATGGAAGAGGAAATGGGGCAGTCAAATGGAGGTGGTAACCTGCTTCGCTTAATGATGGGTGTTTTGAAGGATGACGTAATTGACATTGATGGTTTGGTATGTTAAAATTATCTATTTGGTTTGGTATGTTTGGAGTACCATGTTTATGTTCTGCTATCAGACATGAACCTAATGGTGGTTTCTCTTGTTTATGGTATCCCTGTGGCCAGGTTTTTGATGAAAAGTTACCCGCCGAGAACCTATTTCCCCTACAGGTTCCTATCACTTCTTTCTAAGAGTGGCCTTTATTTCTTTCATCTCTAATGGAACCTCTTTTATAACTTCTCTTTTGGTTGTGCAATGCACTCTACCTTTAAATATATTGAGGTTTTCTTACCTATTGCTGTTTTGGATGCTTAGAATAGTTTGGCAACCTGATTCTAATTGGTTTAAAGTAACTTTTATACCTCTAAGCATGTGCAGCTACTTGTTAGAATTTTTGCAATTTTATCTTTATTGATAGCTGAAGTTTCAAAATTTCTAACAGAAACAGGATTTAAGTTCAACCTTGTAGATTGCTATTATGATTTTTAACCTATGCATGTGTCCAAGTTTATGCCTCTGAACTTATCTTCATATTCCATCTCCAAAGTACTAAGTATTAATTTTTTACTTCATTTTATTCTTAAGCGATGGTTTAGTTGTTTGAGTCTTAAATTTTCTTCTGGTTGCTTTAGTCATCCATTTTAAATGGTTGTCACCCATGTCTCTTGCTATTAAGTTTCAATCTAGTAAATCCTTTTTTGTGCTAATCAATTCAAAATTTAAGATCGTTGTTTTGAAAATTATAAACTATTTGCTGCCTCCTTTTGTAGATCTTTGGTTCTTCTCTTTTTCTTCTTTGCTATTTAATTTTGATTAATTGCCTGTCTCATGGAGGGCAGGCATCTCAAGTAATGTGAGTCTTCATCAGGTTGCTTTTGCATCTCATCAATCCTATTATAAATTGCCCATTGCAGATACTCCTAGACTGTGTGAATACTAAGGAGATTGTATTAGGAGTTTTTTCCCTTAAAATTTATGCACATATATTTACAATATTGTAAGGACAAAGACATGGTCATATAAGTAACTAAAATAATGAATTTGTATTTCTTACGAATGCTTTCTGATCCTCTCCATCTGTATGTTTTAAATGTCTTTCTATTGAATTATTAATTTTGAATCTTCCTCATGTTTTGTTGTTTCTGCAGCTGAGATTTAAAAGCTTATTTTGTTTTTGCAATATAGGCTGTTGAGTTTAGCAGATTAGTTGGCTCACTAAGACCAGAGGAGTCAGAGGATGCAATTGTAACTGCCAGCCAGAAACTCGTAGCAATCTTCCACCAGCGTCCTGAACAAAAAATTGTTTTTGTTACCCAGCATGGTTTGCTGCCTCTAATGGATTTGCTTGATGTCCCAAGAACTCGTGTATGTCAATTATGAGGCTCTTTTTTTTCTTCCCCTCCCCCCTCTTCCTAGATGGAAAAGGGGTAAAATTCTCTTTGATTGTTTCCAACTTGGTTACTAGATAGGTGAAGACCAACTGACGATGTTAATATTTACTGCAATTGCAGGTTATATGTTCTGTGCTTCAACTTATTAATCAGATTGTAAAAGATAACACTGATTTCCAGAAGAATGCTTGTCTTGTGGGCTTGGTAAGTGCTATGGTCATTTAGTTTTATTCATTCACATGTAGAACTGTGGGCAAGGTCTGCAGTTATTGCATAATCACTTAACAGGTTGTGGGACCTATCAAGGAGTTCTGTTTTATTTTGTTTTTCCCATTCATGGATAACAAAGTGTCCTGGCATTCTCATAACCTTACCAATTGCCAAGCATGTGCAGCCTCCTTGTTCCACACCAATGAGCTATTACCATGAGTCCTTAGGAGTTGGTTGAGAAGTCAAACCCAAGGGATCTCTTAATGAGGCATAGCCATGGTTTTTAGGACCCTTAGATTAACCTTTGGTTGTTTTAATTCATTTGAATAAAAGTTCTCATTTGTACGTATGATTCTGTCTGTGTGTTTGTGTGGCACTTCTTGGATTGATCTTTTCCACAGAAATGAGAAATGGGAGGGAGACTGGTTATATTGTAGTATTTAAGCTGTTTTATTCACTTCAAGATATATTATAGATTCCTTTGGTTATGAGTTTTGCGGGGCCCGATCGTCCTCGAGAAATTCGGATGGAAGCAGCTTGTTTCTTGCAGCAGCTTTGTCAGTCAAGGTGTTGAGTTATCTGCTCTTATTATTTAAATTGCTTAATATCACTTTTAATTGATGGAAAAGGATTGTACTGACCATGTTGGTTCCTTCTTTTTAGCTCCTTGACTTTGCAGATGTTCATAGCTTGCTGTGGAATCCCTGTTTTAGTTGGCTTTTTAGAGGCTGATTATGCCAAGTACAGGTTTGTGTGTTTGGGATGCTATTATAGTTGATATACATTTTAATGCTAGACGGATGACAGTCTACTACTTTGGAAAGCTGTAAAACCAAGTCATCTGAATTATTATTGTCAACTTCATTGATGCACTATCCCCTTTTTGATTCTTCTACCCCTTTTTATTTTTGGAATATTATGTTTTAAATGCTCCAGTGTATTTTCCTTTCTATACTTGAAAAATGCTTATTAGCCTCTTCTTACACAGGGAAATGGTTCATCTAGCAATTGATGGCATGTGGCAGGTCTTCAAGCTTCAGCGATCAACCCCAAGGAATGATTTCTGTCGAATAGCTGCTAAGAATGGGATATTGCTGAGGCTTATTAATACTCTGTATAGTTTAAATGAGGCAACTCGACTTGCAACCATATCTGTTGTGGGTGGATTTTCAGTAGATGGTTCAGCTCAACGGCAACGTTCTGGTCCATTAGATTCCAATCATCCTCTGTTTGCTCAGAATGAGACTCCACTCTCTCTAACTGATCAATCTGATGTTCATAAAGTTAGGCATGGAATTACTGAACATTCCTTTCCAACTGTAGCACAAGAACCTTCACGAGCTTCAACTTCACATTCTCAGAGGTCAGATACCAATCTGCCAGATTCACGTTATCTTGCTGTTGACAGTGACAGACCTCAATCTAGCAATGGAGCATTGGATGTATCAGTCGGTACTAAATTGGCAGATTTGACATCCCTAGAAAAAGTTACAAACATAGCCACCAAGGAATCTTCAACCTTTTCCAAAGAGCGAGAAAACTTGGATCGATGGAAACTTGATCATGCTAGAGCAGAGATTGACCTCATACAGCAGAAAATAAGTAACTCTGTGAGCAGGACATCTACAGACAGACCTCCCAAATCGATAGAAGGTATGTCAAATGGATTTCCCACTTCAATAACTACCCAGGCAGAGCAAGTTCGCCCACTGCTTAGCTTATTGGAGAAAGAACCTCCTTCTAGACATTTCTCTGGTCAATTGGAGTATGTACGCCACCTGTCAGGATTTGAGAGACATGAAAGCATACTGCCTCTGCTACATGCTAATGACAGGAAAACCAATGGTGAACTAGATTTCTTGATGGCTGAATTTGCAGGTATACACTAATGATTGATTGAGCTACTGCTTATTGCTTTATGCAGATATTAAAATATGTAAATGGTTGACCTTATCTTCCCATAATCACATTATCCTTAGGAAGTGATGAATCCTTGAAGGATACTATGCTGGAACTTCCTCTTTTATTTTTTTTCTCAGTATGCTGGAACTTCCTAAGTTAACATAAAAAGTTTAAATTTACGCTATCTTTAGATGAGACTTATGGCATTTCCACTGAGCTTCTTATTAATTAGGACTGAATTAGTAGACTTTTATTCAAGGCTGGGAGTTTCGTTATGGTTTCAGAGGTCTCTGGCCGTGGAAGAGAAAATGGAATTGTTGAATCTACACCTAGAATTCCACATAAAACAGTGAATAAGAAAGTCGGGCAACTGGCATTTAATGAAGGAGCAGCATCCACATCTGGTATAGCTTCTCGGACAGCATCAGGTGTATTATCTGGCTCAGGTGTTTTAAATGCTAGACCAGGAAGCGCGGCATCATCGGGGTTACTTTCCAACATGGTATCAACAATGAACGCGGATGTTGCCAGGGAGTACCTGGAAAAGGTAGCAGACCTACTTCTTGAGTTTGCTCAAGCAGATACAACTGTTAAGTCCTACATGTGTAGCCAAAGCTTGCTTAACCGTCTTTTCCAGATGTTTAATCGCATAGAGCCACCTATTCTTTTAAAGGTACCTAAAATATTTTGGCTTTTAATTTTATGTTTCAGATTGTTTAGTCATCCTGTATGGTTTGTACTCATTGCTCATTATCTTTTTCTTAGATACTGAAGTGTATTAATCATTTGTCTACCGACCCAAACTGCTTAGAGAATCTTCAACGTGCAGATGCAATTAAGTATTTGATCCCAAATCTAGAACTCAAAGATGGGCCTCTTGTATCCCAAATACATCATGAGGTTTGCCTTATTATACTTGATCATTTCGCCTAATGATGCATTTGCTAGCAAATGTGATATGTCGTCACCTGCTTAAGTTATCAACTGTGACTATCTGAGACTTAACATTTGTTTTATATTGATGTGCACCTGGTTTTAATCTAACTCCTGCCAACTTGATAATTTTGTCAATATTACTTCCCTCTATGTTTTGGATAGTTATCGCCTGGATTTAGTTCTAATGTTGACTGAATTCTTTAGATAATATGATGCACCTACCTGATGTTTGAAAAGTTGTTTTCAACTCAGGTGATAGCTTATCTTTGTACCATAGATAATCTTTAGGATTCATAACTACAAGCAAAGTAAAGTTGATTTACTAAATAATTGAACAACTGCTCTCTGCTTTTGCAGTTCTAGTTTCTTGTTGCTTTGCAAATTCTGTTCCTTTTTCCTCTCATGAGACATGGGTTTTTCTCCCCCGGCCACCTTTTTCCAACCCTAACATCCACATTTTTACCATTTTTCTTATTAATTTTGTTATTTTTTCTTGCTTTCTTACATTTTATATTTTTTGGAAGACCAAAATTTTCCTTCAATTATGTGGGGGTAAAATGCTGTAAATTAGCATTAGGGAGCTGAGTATTGAGCCTTGAGGGTAGTGTATGATATATGCCATACAAGCTTTATCATTTTGCTTTTGATTAGCCTAATAACTATATTATTTATTCTCCTTTCCTTCATCTCTACTCGTTAATTGGCAAAGTGTATACTGCAGCTATAAATCACAAACCAAAATTTGTCTATGGTTCTTTTATCCAATTATGATTCTTATTAAGTTGGGTTGGATTCTTGCTCTTTGCCCAAGTTACAGTGACATTATTCTGATCTATTTTCATCATATTTTATTTTCGGAAGGTCCTCAATGCACTGTTCAACTTGTGCAAGATAAATAAGAGGAGACAGGAACAAGCAGCAGAAAATGGAATTATTCCACACTTGATGAATTTTATCGTGTCAGATTCTCCCTTAAGACCACATGCATTGCCGCTACTATGTGACATGGCTCATGCATCACGTAATTCAAGGGAACAGTTGAGGGCCCATGGTGGATTAGATGTGTACTTGAGTTTGCTTGATGATGAGCTATGGTCTGTGACGGCATTAGATTCAATTGCTGTTTGCTTGGCTCATGACAATGACAATCGCAAGGTGGAACAAGCTTTGCTGAAGAAGGAAGCAGTTCAGAGATTGGTGAAGTTTTTCCAATGTTGTCCAGAGCAACATTTTGTCCACATATTGGAGCCATTCTTGAAAATTATCACGTAGGAGATACTACACCCCTCCTTTGGTTATTTCTTAGTTTTTAGATAAGATGGCAGTTTAAGGACCTAAAAGGAAACATTCTTACCATTTCACTGTTTAAATTGGTTTTATACTTTCACAGTGGACTCTGCAGTTGTTTATGTTTAATTTTTAAAGAAGTTTCCACCCTCTCTTTTCTTCCTCTAGACATTTAAAGAGACTGGCATATATGGAAAATTTGGTTCCTGATTTAGGATTTCCTACATTGACCCTATGTATATATTGGAATGCAGGAAATCATCCCAAATAAACACAACATTAGCTGTTACTGGTTTGACGCCACTGCTAATCTCAAGGTTGGATCATCAGGATGCTATTGCTCGTCTTAATCTACTTAAATTAATTAAGGTCAGTGCGACTCTTTCCCTTGTCAGAATCGGTGTGCTTTTTATTTTGTTTACAAATCGTTTGACTGATTCCAGATCCTTCAATGTAAACTTGTTTTGCTAGGTCTGTTAAGATTGTTCTTTTTAAGTAAATAAAAAAAACATGTTTTCCTATGTTGGTCATTTAAGTTGGAGAAATGTTTGGTGGGAAATGTACGCCATGCATGTTAGTTCTACTGTTAGTATGCCATGTCTTTGGGGAAATTTAGGAAATTTGCACCCTAAACATTCGAATAATGTATCATTTTAATCTAAATTCTAATATTGTTAACTCACCTATATGGTATCTAACAATTATAATTTTATTATATGCATGTTATTTATTAAATAAAAGTGTTAAATATTTTGCAAAAACCTTCATGTGGATGTCACATGACCAAAAGTAATTGATTGATTCTAGACAATTTTATGATTTAGGTAAAAGAATATGTATTTTTAATTTATTTTGAGAAAAAAACATTGATATTATGTGCGGTGAACACATTAACTTAATAATATTTGTCATGCGCTGCATATAAGCTGATATGGTTAATGAGATTAGTACATAATTGAAGGTTTAAGGTACAAATTGTACATTTAATTTCTTTCGGTACCAATTTGAACATTTTCCTAAAGTTTATGTATCAAAATTGTAATTTAACTCTTTTCTAAATGTAGGGAGAAATTAAAATTAAGAAATGTTGATTGGCGTTTTAACTTTTTAAGACATGAATATCATGCTCTGTAAAAAAATTACATACTTAAAACCTAATTTTAATTATATTTCATTAATGATGCGAGGATATGTGTAAGCACTTACTTGAAAGAGACTAACAGTGGAGAGTGCAGAGCAATTCACTGGGTAGCATTTTTCATAGATGTTCACTTAAGTGCAGTCATGGTTCATAACTTATTGCTCAGTGACGCTTTAAGAGGATGTTTATTGTGAATAGTTAGGTCACTGTAATTTTTGCTTTTGCAGGCTGTTTATGAGCACCACCCACGACCAAAGCAATTAATCGTGGAGAATGATTTACCGCAGAAGCTTCAGAATCTAATTGAAGAACGCAGAGATGGGCAGCGTTCTGGAGGCCAAGTGTTGGTGAAACAAATGGCTACTTCGTTGCTCAAAGCCCTTCATATTAACACTGTCCTGTAAATTTATGTGTCTATCTTGTCCTCCCTGTTACGTATATTTTGATTCTTTAGGAAGGAATGATTTCTCCTTTTCTTCTTTTGATTATTTTTCCCCGGTTCCCTGATTTTCTCATCTCTCACATCAATGATGTGGAGGCAACCGCATATAGGAAACGCATTTGATGCTGTCTGTTTGCTGCCTAGATTGTTTTCTTATATGTAGCTTTCAGTTTGCTGGTGTTACCCTTTGTCCTGGTTTTTCGGTACTCTCATTTTTTTTTGTTCTTAGAAAATGTTCCAATGATTTGGTTCCAATTGTGTTTACAGTAATATAAAGCTTTTGAAATGGTCCTGACATTGGGAGTCCTACTGAAGAAGTATCTCGTTTGGATTGTAATCCTTGTTACTTAATTTGCTAATGCATGGCATAGAGAGGATTAATGTCGACGTTTAATACCAGCACCAGTTATTTCTAGGCTTTGGATGTCCAAACCATAAGGCAAACATTGTAGGAGGAACAGGACAATGTTAAGAAAACCAACATGAACAGAATCCAAAACCATAAATAAAGTGTTAAAGAGGAGAGATGAGATAGACAGTGACTTCAAAACCTTTCATATCTTCACTAACTCCTAAAACAACACTTAAATTTGAGCAAATCCAACAACACATTCGACAGGAAAAAAGCACCAAAATCACAATGCTTTTGGATAAGTTAATGCCGAATCTGATGTGTTTCTTGTCACCAAAGCCTCCAGTTTGCATCAATCCACCTCCAGGTATTGCACAAACCAATCACACAGATAAGATAATGCAACTACACAGAGAAGTCAATTACATCACAGTATGAATGCGCAACCAAATCATTCGAACCAAGCACTTAGAATCCATTGTTATATCAGATCCGCAACATTCATTGGCATTTCGTCTATCTGGGTACTATAATACTGCTCTATATCTCTAAGAATTTTGATGTCATCACTTTTCACAAAATTAATAGCAACACCCTGCACAGCAACCATACAATCAAAAAAATATTCACCATACATACAAGAACAGCCAGAAAGTGGCTGCCATTTATGCAAATAAAAGAATCCAAAGATGAATCAAGAATATACAAAATAGTTTCTTGCAAACATGGAACATCATTTTGGTCTTAAAATGAATTAAATCTTTACTTCAACATGCAGTAACCCAAATGAAGGTGGAATGCAATCTGAAAAATCTTTGGAAATTATATGCAATAAATAAAAGAAAGGAAAACCAAATTAGAAACACAAGTTTCATCACAAAATCAAGTTACATAGTCAAAGAAATACCTTTCTTCCAAATCGACCTGACCGACCAATCCTATGGATGTAAAGCTCTCGATTGTTTGGCAGGTCGTAATTGATTACCAGGGACACCTGAAACAAGAAAGTAAATTTAGTAAAATATAAAATAGAAAACGAAAAGCCTTCTAGAGTGATAGAAAATTAAAGCTATTTTTGTCCCACTTTTTCCCCTTGGATTAAGCATGTCAAAATTTAAAAACATAACCAAATGATATGCACTTGGTTCTTATGTAACCTTAATCTCAAGAGGCATTTTGTGCATATGCCATACAGTTTGCAGACCCATGCCTCTAGGTTGCACTACCACTACTATACATAACTGGTCTCCAAGATAATAAAGACCCAACTATTATATGTGAATCGAACTATATTTTCTTGAGACAAAAATTAAACACCTACTCAACTAGATAACAAGTAACCAGCAAAAATACACCCAGAAAGGGAACATGAAAAGCCCCCCAAAGACTTACCTGCTGAACATCAAGCCCTCTAGCCCAAACATCTGTTGTGATAAGAACACGGGTTGCACCATCCCGAAACTCAGCCATAATCGCATCTCTTTCCCTCTGAGGCATATCCCCGTGCATTGATGACACCGTAAAGTTATTGCTACGCATCTTCTCAGTTAGCCAATCAACCTATTCCAAAAGCAGAAATCACAAAGACAAGCCTCAAGATCACCGCATGAAATCCAAAAGTTTGTATAAAAGAATTAGTGAATTACTTAGGAAAATTGTTGAACAGGTTTCTGTTCCTATTTTGGAAAGCAAATGCATGCCTATGAGACTTCAGAAGAGACCTTTCGTTTTGTATTGCAGAAAATAACAGCTTGGGTGATTGTCAACGTATCATAAAGATCACATAGTGTATCGAACTTCCACTCCTCTCTTTCAACTGCTACGAAAAACTGCTTAATTCCCTGTAATCATGAAAAACAGAACAAAACTTTACATCAAATCCAAAATTAGAGGTTGTGGAAATCTCATTAGTGTAATAGCATTTGATTACCTCCAGAGTCAACTCATCACGCTTCACAAGGATCCTTATAGGATCAGTCATAAATTTGCTCGTCATCTCCAAAATTTCATGAGGAAGGGTAGCAGATATCAAACAAACCTACAAAAATTCATTAATTTAAAATCAATTTCAACAACATAAGCAAACTCAGATAAGGAGAAAGAAAGAGAAAACAAAGCCTTGTGGCTATACTACAGAAGCAAGAATGTTGCAGGATAACAGCAGCAAGACCCAAAAAAAAAAAAAAAAAAAAATTCAACAACTCAAATTCAATTCATGAATTTTTAAAATCGAGCAAGAACACAGTTAACAACACAAACTTGTAGTACCTAAGAAGTTTACAATTGTTATAGGACTTTTTTGGAAGGACTGGATGAGCGCTAATAACAAAGAATAAGACCAACTTGAAGAACAAGGCAAGAAAAGAAAGTGAGAAAGGAACCTGAAGCTCGGGTGGAAGATGTCTGTAAACATCATAAATTTGATCTTTGAAACCTCTGCTCAACATCTCATCAGATTCATCAAGAATCAATAGTTTAATAGCCCTTGTACGTAGGGTTCTCCTCTTGATCATATCACAGACTCTCCCAGGAGTTCCCGACACTACATGGACTCCGTTTTCTAGCTTTCTTATATCTTCACCCACACTTTTGCCTCCAATACACGCGTGTGCTTGTATGTTCATGAAATCACCAATTGTCCTTATCACTTTCTCCGTTTGCGATGCCAGTTCCCTCGTAGGTGACAAGATCAATGCCTGAACCCTGAATTACCACCACTTAACGTTATAAACAATTACAGATGCAAAGACAATTCATGCTTCAAAATAGAGAAAGTAAATTGCCAATTAATCCTCAAAAATTGGGGAATCCATAACGAGATTTGAAGCCTCAAGGACCTAACATAATTTTACAATTTTCAATAGTATTATTTTTACATTTTTTATAGAATGTATTGCAAATTTAGGGTTTTAGTTCTCAGGTATCTACGAAATCGACATCACAACAAATTCAAATCCACACAAAACGACTAATTTTATAAAAGAATTAAAATTAGAACTTACTCTCTGCTAGCGGTGTCTACCACTTGGCAAACGGTGAGGGCAATCATGGAAGTTTTACCGGTACCAGACTGGGCTTGCGCAATCACGTCACGGCCGTTGATTATCGGCATCACGGCTCTCTGCTGGATGGCTGACGGCTTTTCAAAGCCGTAATTGTAGATTCCACGGAGGAGATCGTCTTTTAGCCCCATCTGGTCGAAACTCATTATCGGCTCGATTCCTTCCGTCGTCTCGAACACTAGCTTCTCATCCTCGGCTCCCATCCGCCGAGTCGCTCGGCTAGTTGTCGCGGCCGCTGACATCCTTCTGCTTTGCCTAAGTGCTCGTTCGAAGGTGAAACAGAAAATAACAAAAAATCGGACAAAAAAGGGGATAAAAGGTCTAACTTCCAAAATATTATTAGAAACGCGAGCTGATTGATGCTATTGCTAGGGTTTTATCTGTATAGGTGGGGGTTTTCTCAGAATACAACTTTATTTAAACAAGCCACGTTTTACTTGTCGTGGCTAGTTTTAATTGGTGGTAGTTAAAGATCTATGTAGGCGGTGACTGATTTTTCAGTTTGGATTGCGTTTGGAAAAGAGCCGGGGTCTTTAAAGTTCTTTATCATTATATTTATAGCTAATTAAAAAAATATTCGCGCGTATATCGCTAACTCAAAATTTTTATTTTATTTTATTTTTTGTTTATTGTATTTTTTATAAAATATATTTAATTAAAAATTAAAAATTAAAAATTAAATAAAAATGATAAGTGAATACTTTTGATTTTATTTCTTAAAATTTATCAAATCAAAAAATTAAAAAAAATGAAAAGAGAAAAAAATAAAAAATGAGAAAAAAAATAAAAAAAAGCTCATAAAGAATGTTATATTAACATGTTATATTGAATTTTAATTAAGGTAAAAAAATTAATTTTATTAATATAAAACATATATAATGTATAAAATTAAACAAATAATAAAATGTAAATTATATGTATATATATATATAGTTCGAGATTAAGACAAAGTACTTTAAATACACTTTTCATCCTATCCTTTTTTTTTAATACTCGTCTTATCTTAATTTAATCTTAATTTAAAAAAATCGATCTTATTGAATCAAGATGAATCAAAACTTATCGGATATAAATTATTTTGACATCTTTATCAATTAGCATATTTCATTTCAAATTTTATATAATTAAAAAATTTTAAAAAACAAAAAAGAGAAAAATCAAATTACACTTGTCAAACTACTAGACAAAAAATTTTAAAAATTTTCAAAATAAAAAGAACCACTATCAATCTTTTTGGTTAAGTATGATTGGTCACTTAAAAAGTTTATTTTTTTAATAAAACAATAAAATGAGTTTAAAATTTATTAAAAAAATAATTTTAGTCTACGAAAATAAAGTTAAATTTAAAAGTCGATTACACGTGAGAAATGATTAGCATCCTACATCATCCATTTTAAAAAATGATATCAATTGATCATATGAGATCTTTACTATTAATAAAAATGATTTTAATTCTAATATTTTAAAATGATTCTTTCAATTTTTTTTTGAAAATATTTTTAAGACCTTTTATTTAGGAATAAGATGAAAATCTTTAATAGTGAAGCATTTTCTAATTTGTCAATAACTAGGTAGAATTTTATAAAATATTTATTTACTTAAGATTTTCATTCTAATCCTTAAAAAATTTCACATAATATTTATTTATAAATAATAACTATTGAAAAGCCTTATAATGTCTAGGCAGGATCCAAAAATGATTTTTACTTAAGAATATTAGTTTATTTTTTTGTTTAAAACAATTCTCCAAAGAAAATCACAATTTATTAATTAATTTTTTTGATCGTAATGAGATGTAGGCAGATATCATATGCATAAGTGTATGACATGAATGTAAATTAAAATGCAAACAATTAGTAAAATTCATCTAATATGTATTTAAATTTTATTTATTTATAGTAATCCAATGACAATCCTTAATTTCAAAATATTTTCTAATTTTTCAATATCTAGGCGATATTATAAAAAAATTTTCTCCAATTAAAATTCTCATAATATTTCTTAAAATCAGGCATAATACTTCTTCATAAAAGGTAATTATTATGAAACCCCATCAATATCTAGGCAATGTCTCAATAATTATTTTTACGTAAGACTATTAACCATTATTTATAAAAAAGAAAAACTAAATTTCAAAATTATCATTTGTCAAATCACATTTTTATATCACGGTATAATGCAACATGAGATAAATAAATACTACAAATACAAACAATCAAAATAAATGATGCTAATACATGCAGTCAATCAAATTGACCTATCTTACATGCATTTAATCTTATTTTTTTGAATATTATTTTTTAAAAGAAAATCAAGGATAAAAGAAATTCTATTTATTTATTAATTTTGTGAAGGAAAATTTTCTTTAATTCCTCAATATTTAGATGAAATTTAAGAAAATTAATCCTTCAAAATATGATTGAATTCTTTCAATATCTAGGTAAGGTTTTCAAAATCATTTTTCATTTTTTTGTAAAATTATGTAATTAGTCACTAAACTATTGCATTTTTTTTAAAATGGTCACAAAGTATTAAAATTTTCAATATAGTCACTAACATTTGAATAAGTATTTTTAGGAGTCATTGTACTGTTAAAACCAAAACGTTTATTTGATGTAGCTTAACTTATAAGAAACGATTTGCTTACATGGCAAATAAAAGATCAAGTGGCATGGGCAAGTTAAAAAATAATGCACATAAGATTTAGGGATTTTGCTTTAGAGTAAAAAAATTTAGGTTTGAGGTTTTAGAAAATGGATTTTCTCTAGCAATAAAAATTAAGGTTTGGCTATATTGTAGTTTATAAAGGAAATTGAGGATTTTGTGATTTAAGATAGCAATCGAAGGTCACGTTATCACGATTTAGAGAAGATTATGTGATTTTGTTATTTTGTTTTAGGGTTTACAGTTTTAGTTGATGTGTTAAGATTTATTTTATGTTTAGGCAAGCAATAGACAAAAGAAGGCATCAAGTGGTAAGGACCATATAATTTCTTATGGTACGAATATAAATTATTTATTTAAGTTTTTTTTTTCTGGTCATACATAAAGCCACTAGTTTTGTTTTTGCCATACATGAATGAACTGGTTTTGTTTTGAGTATTAAATATGGTTATTATGGATACTTTTTTCTGCCAAGTCATTTGTAATGTACATTGTTTCGTGCTAAGTGTGTTATATGGTTATTGTCTGCTCGTCGTATATTGGGGAAGCAAGTGAAGCCATGTGTGGGTCTGAATGCTTTTTGAGGCATGTAAAGGTTATTATTATATTATATATATAATTTTATGATATATTTTATTGAAGATTAAAGTGTTTAAGTTATTAGGGTTTATGTCTAAATCAAAATAACCCTCTGATTAAAATTTTAAAATTTGATAAATTTTCAAAGCCTAACTCATACTATTTTTCAACTGTTAGTCATTATGGTGTCATTTTTTGTATACTCTTAATATGATTTATACTATAAAAAAAGTTTATTACTTTGATTTATGTCATGTAGATGTTATGTCAATGATTGAAATGAATGATATAATCGAGGTGTTAGGTTATACAAGCAATATGAGATATTATTAGAAAATGTTAATAGGGCATTTAGTGTTATTCTATTAAGTCTCTTAGAAAAGATATTGATGTTGTCAATATGGTTGTAAGCATGCCTAAAAAACATTACATTTATTTGTATTTAAAAAATGAGTCTATCATTGATAAACATGATGTAGATGCTAGTTCTATTAAAAAAGTACAATGAATGTTGCTCAGACATTTGAAATGAAGTAAAAACAGAAGTAAGATGTAGTATGGAAGAAGATGAAAATGACAGTGATAATTTTGATTCTAATTTTAATGAAAATGAGTATAATATGAAAAATGATGATGATCATGATTTTGATATTAATGTCGATTTGAGAATTGAGAGAGATATAGGTTTCGGTGATGAAGATATAGTTGAAGCAGATGATAGCTTAGCTGTTGAAGTAGGTGCAAATAAAAAATAATATAAAAAATTAAATTCTTTGCACAGTGTACATGAATATGATTAAGAGGGTGTTAGTAGATGGCCAGAATTCGATAGTAAAATAGATATGAAAAATCTTAAGTTAGAAAAAGTATGTTATTTGTTGATAGAGAGGTGTTGAAAGAAGCCAGAAGATAGTATGAAAAGAAGAATAGATATAATATCAAGTTTGAAAAGAATGACAAGAAGAGGGTTAAAGTGGTTTATAATAAAATTTGCCTATGAAAATTGTAAGAGGTAAAATTCAATGTAAAATACCAACTAAACCATACATGGCAGATCAAGACTTATATTTCTGAACATACATGTATTAAGAACATAAAAAATAAAAATACGACTTCTAAATGGATGGGTTAGCATTATGTTAACAAGTTTACTACTAATCCAAGCTACTTTTTAAGTTTTTTTCAACAAGATGTGATGACATACTTTGTCATTAATGTGTCATTAACAAAATATTTTAGGGCTAAGCAAAAAGCACTTGAAATTGTGTATGGAAACACAAAGAACAATATGCTAAGATTTATGGGTATTTCGAGGGGCTCAAGCAAAGCAATAAAAGAACCATTACAATTTGTTTCTTAGATTGCAAGTTATTTAAAAGGATGCATATTTGTTTACAAGCATGCAAAGTTGGGTTCAAAGCTAGTTGTAAGCGTATTATCAATATTGATGGTTGCTTTCTAAATGGGTATTATGGTGGACATTTATTGATAACTATTAGGATTGATGCAAATAATTGCATCTATCCACTGGCTTATGCAGCTGTTGAAAGTGAAAACTATGACTTTTGGTATTGGTTCTTGCTTTTGCTAAAAAATAACTTTGAAGTTGTAAATTCTTATCACTAAATTTTTATGTTAGATAAACAAAAGGTTTGAACTTTATCCCTTTAATTTTTTATTAGTTCTTTTTAATATAAAATTAAGGTTATGATATGTAACTATAATTTATGTTTTTGTTGTTTTGGAAGGGACTTATGGATGCGTTTATTGATATTATGCTTAATGCTAAGCATAGAAATTGTGTTAGGCATTTATATACAAATTTTAAGTCAAACACTACAAACAAAAGAAAAGTATTGAAGGACTGTTTGTAGAAAGCTACTAGAGCTACTTACTTGAAGGAGTTTGAAGATGCAATGAAGGAAATGAAAGCCTTGTCAATTGATGCATACAAATGGCTTGAGGGAAAAGATCCAGCTCAATGATCTAAGTCTCACATCTTAACAATGGTTAAGTGTGACATGTTTTTAAATAATTTAAGTGAGTCTTTTAATAAGTTTATTTTAAATGCAAGGGATAAGCCTATTCTGACAATGATAAAGATTGCTAGAATAAAATCAATACAAAAGATTATCTTGAAGAATGCATTTGCTAAAAAGCATTCGAGACCACTTTGTCCCAAAATAAAAAAAAAGTTGGATTAAATTATGTTATAGTCAAGCAGGTGGTGGTCAAAATGTGCTAGTATTCCAAGAGACCAAGTACCATGTGGGTCATC